GCATGGGGGAGCGCGGGCCGCGCTCGGGAAGATGCCCCGGCCAGAGCTGCCCCTGCCGGAGGGCTGGGAGGAGGCGCGCGACTTCGACGGCAAGGTCTATTACATAGATCACACGAGCCGCACCACCAGCTGGATCGACCCGCGGGACAGGTAGGACCCCGGGGAGCCCCCACACCTCCCGTTCCCTCCTGCCCCGGGGGCCACCAGCCGGGACTGGGCCGGGGGTGCAAGGGAACTCTCTGAGCCTCTTGCGCTTTCTTCAGCTTGCTGCCCCCCCCCCATCCCCCGCCGTCTGGAGCGATGCGGCTGCCCGGGTGGGCTGCTGGGAGGAGAGGACCGCCAGTGGGTTGGCCCAGGCAGTCCCACCGCCATCCCCGATGGAGGACTTAGGCCCCAGCCGGCACCTGCCCAGAGTTTTGACCTTAAGCTCTAGCCCCGCCCCCCCCGCCCCCTTTAGGAAGAGGTCGGGCGGGGGCTGGGGAAGCAACCTAGCAGTGTGATTCTGGGGCTTCCCGGGGAGGCTTTCCCCAGCATGTGTGTGTGTGTTGGCGGGGGGGGGAGATGGGGAATCATCTGGTTTGGAGGGGGTAGTAGGGACCCAGGATTCAGTGGGAAACTGCTGGAGGAAGGACACTAGGCGGAGGGGAAGGCAGCCCGGAGTGTGGTTTTTGACAGGTTCCTGGGAGGCTCTGAGAAGAGCATAGGAGCAGCCAGGGGGCCTGGAGGCCGGGAGTGGGAAGGAAAGGAAGGGTGGGGAGGGAGGGCTGATGGGGAAGACTGGTTCTCCAGGAATCTTACAGCAACTTGGAAGCTGTTAGGAAATAGATGGAGGTGAGGGGCCTCCCGCAAAGCCCAGCCCATCACCTCGTTCTCCTCCTTTTCTTCCTCTGGGGGCCGGAGCTCCTCAGCCCTGCACCAGCGCGTCCTGACCTTGGACCTTGGTGGGCACCAAGCCGACTGTAGCACGGGATTTTTTTTTTTTTTTTTTTTGCTGAGGCAGGTGGAGTCTGAGATGACTGGTGTGGTGTAGCTCTTAGCTTCCAGACTTTTTCCCGGTTTTGATTGCTTGGCATTTCTTTACACACACCATCCCCATGTATACTCTGGGGTGGGCTGGAGGGGAAGAGGACCACCCTCTGAGATTTCTTTGTTGTCCCTGTTGTCCTGATCTGTGGTCATAGTGTCTTAGGAATGTGGACTTTTCACCTGGTCAGTGCGACCTTGGGTATCAGGTGCCTGTAAAGCAATAGAGGTGAATTTTTTGGACCCTTCATCTTGTAGGGTTGGGATGGAGGTCCCAGAAGTCCAAGATGGGGTGTGTAGCAAGGTGAGGGTTGAAAAAAAGAGGCAGAAAGAAAACTTGAGTTGAGATTCCCAGTAGTTTCTGTGAGCACTTTAAGTTCATTCATTTAACATTTACTGGGCACTTGCTTTATTCTCATCATTCTTGCATGCTGGATGTCTCATTAATGTAATCTGGAAGAGAAATTAAAAAAAATATATCTATGTCTAATGTGGGGCTTGAACTCACCACCCCGATATCAAGATTCACGTGCTGTACTGACTGAGGCAGCCAAGTGGCCTTGGAAGAGAAATTTTTAATGCTAGAGAAAACATCCCATGAGCAAGCTGCTTTAACCTCTGAGCCCCAGGTTCCCCATTTGTCAGATTAATGGTTTGCTTGGAAGGGAAGGAGTAATAGAAGAGCTCTAAAAGTTGGAAGGGACATAGATGATCAGAGCCCAGCTCTTACTTTCAAACCTAAGAGAAAATTTGAGGCCCAGAGGTGTGATTTCCTTGAATATCTTGATCTTTCCACCACTCACCATATGCCAGATTCTTTACAAGCTCTGAAGTTCTGACCTCCAAATCTGTCCTGACTCACTTTCCTTCCCCACCCCACTCAGGGGCATCTGCCCCAGGGACGCTGTTGCCGGCGTTGGTGAACGGGGCAGCCCCTTGTTCTCTTCTAGAACAGACGCGAGTTCAGTCTTCTATTTCCTGCCTGGTTTTGGTCCCTGCAGCTTACTGAGGCCACTGTGCTGTCAGCAGTTGGATGTTGGAGGACTGGGACAGCCCCACACCCAGCGCTGCTAACTCACCCGAGGTCATGAATCTAGGGACTTCTCTGGGGCTCTGAGAAAGCCTCTCAAACAACAGTAATTTTTTACCCCTGGACGAGGGCAAGTGGAAAACTGACTTGGCTAGAGCATTATTTTTCAAATTTTCGTATCATGTGAACCACTACCATGGTTTTGTGCTCAATGGACTTGCACTGTTGCTTACTTAATACTTGACTTTAAATCAACTCAGTTTGAAAATTTTTGAACCACTTTCACATATGGGAAACTAGTAATATCTGTTGTCATAAATAGAAAGAATCCTGTTTAGAAACAGTAGAGGGGGGAAAAAAAACCCAATCCAGCACCATTATATTTTAGCTCTGTACTGTAGCTTGCCCATAGCCCAGCAACAGGTATGCCCAGCCTTTATTTTTAGGCAGATTGGCAAGCATTGGAGAGGAATTAAAAACATAGTGGCATTTAACTGAGCCACTCACTTTCTTCACCTTGCAAGTCATTGGTTTTAATGCATCTTCGTACCTCCTGGTCATCCCACCCACACTGGGTGGGTGGGGGGCCCCGGAGTTTAGGGCCCTGAGGTGTTCCGAGCACAACTCTGGGGTCACTGTTATGGTGGGGCTAACTGAATATTTGGGGAAAGAGCTCTGGAATTTCCTGCACACCCCGTTCGGGATTTCTGTCTTATAATCTTACCTGTGTGGCCTCGGGTAAATCGCTTGACCTCTCTGAGGTACAAGTAAGTGCTTCATTGGTGTGAGAAGACAGTTGATGAAATGTTTGCAGGACCCTGCCAGGTCTCAGATGTGGTTTCAGACTCCTTGGCCTCGCCTTACCCCTCCTGACCCCATGGCAGAAGGGGAAGAGGGATTGTAACAAGGAAGAGGAAAAAAAATAAAGTGAAGAAGAGCCAGACATTTTTGGGGTGGTGGAGTGGGGGAGATAAATTCTGCCAAGGTAGTTATATCTCTGCAACTAATTAATGCTCTTAAACAAAAGATCATGTAAATAAAAAATTCTTCTCCTTAAGCGTGTGTGTGTGTGTGTGTGTGTGTTTACGTTTGTCTTGGCTTTTTCCTTACCTGAATCAAGGAGATGCCCACCCATTCCCTTGAATTGAAAAGAAGTAAGTCAAACGGTCCTTCAGTCAGAAAAGTGATTTCTTAGCCACGAAGAACAAAATAGCGTCTCGGGTTACCAACCCTGAAGAATGTCTTGGCACATTCCTCCCTCTGGGGCCGAGCTGTTTTGTGCGCTGTCCGGCCTGGAGGCTGCTGGGGGTAGGGAATCCGGTTTTCCGCTTCCCCTTTCACCAGCGGGCTGGAAGAGCAGCTAGGCAGCCAGCCTTGCCAACTCTCTCCTCTTCTCACCCAGGGCAAGACTGGGAGGCCGAAATTCCTGAGGACGGTTGTCCCAACAACCCGAGAGGGTCCAGTGGGCAGCGTGGGCCCTGCCTACTGGGCCAAAGGCTCCAACGGCACCACAGGCTCCTCCTGAGGCAAGGCTGGCCTGGAGAATCAGGTGCTCTGGCCTCCACAGCCCCTTGGAGCAGAATAACTCTGGGTGCTTCTGGGAGCTTCCAGCAAAGGGCCAGCATTCCTTGTGTATTTAACTTAGTGGTATGTGAAAACAAATACGCCGATTGTTCTCCAAGGAAGAACGGATTGTTTGAACTGGCCCTGCCAGAGAAGGTTCCTGAAGCCTAATTCCTGCTCATTCAGTGGTGTATGTTCAGACCTTCTTCCAGGAACCACCAGGAGCTCTGTGGGCACAGTTTCTGGGGCTATGTGATAAGTCCTGGAGGCCCACTTGGCTAAGAGGCCATGTTGAGAGGACTCAGCAACTTCTCTCATGATTTGAGGAACATTTGCCTGTCCTCTTATTTCAGAAATAATTTATATTGTAGGAAGTTGGGTCTACAGTCAAAAGATCTGAACCTCCTTCTGGCCACAGATCCTTCTGAGAATCTGACAAAGGTTAAAGATGCTTCCTGAAGAAAAGTGCAAATACAGTTTTTGGCACATAATTTCGGGGGGCTCTTGGACCCCAGGTCCATACTCCTGCCATAGATTAATTTAGAAACTGCTCATCACTGCCTATATGCCCTCCTGTTCAGCGAGGTAGGAAGTAATGACTGAGCATTTACTGTATTCAGGCAGTCTGCTGAGAGCTTTATATGGGTGATTTCCTTTAATCCCTCGGACAACCCTGGGAAATAGGTACAATGATCTATGAGGAACCTGAGGCTCAGGGGGGCTGAGTTTGGTGAAAGCCAACTTTTTTGGAGGTGAGTTGCGGACGCTGGGCGCGCTGATGCCAGAACCCACACATCTGACTGCTGCGCTGCACTGCTACCCGGCCTGGGCCCCGTTGCCTAGGGGATTTGGCCTTGGGGAATGGAGTGGGGACAAGCAGGACTTCACTTACCGGTAGCCATGCTGGTGTGGGCGGGCCATGGTTAACCTGAGAGCAAATGTGGACAGTGGAAAGAGGGAACCTGAGTGACCTTGGCAAGTTGCAAGCCTTGGCTTTTGTCTTTTCTACTATAGGGAGGTACACATAGTTGTCAAGAGCAGTTATGGACATTAAATGAACTGAATCAGGTAGAGCAGTTAGCACAGAGCCTGATACCCAGGAGGCGCTTGGGAATGCCAGTTCTTTTCGCTTTTACTAGAACGTGCCTACAGGACACTTAAATCAAACGGAGACTGAGTCTCTGCTCAGCTCTGTAGCAGTTTGTAGCTGGGATGGACTTTTCCGGTCGTGTAACCCATCCCTCTCATTTCACTGATGAAACTAAGACTCAGAGGCAAGTGACTTACTTACCTGCCCAAGGTCACACCTTGAATCATTAGGAAAGGTCTCCTTCCCACTTGCTTTAATGCAAACTTTTCCCTAAAAATCAGATCCAGTCTCTCCTCACCCATTGTAATAATTTGGGAATATTTTATGCTTGTGGCTGAGTTATTTTCCATAATCCTTTCTGACTGTGTAGACCAGCAGTTTTCTTTCATCTGTCCCAACCATTTGTGAGTCGTATCCTAGGAATACTATGGTACTGAACTTACT